CCTGGAAAATTGAGTGTTGGGGTACTTAGAATTTTCAGAAGTTAGGGGGTACTTGCTACTTAAAAGGTTGAGAAACACTGCTCTAGTCTACACTAACTAACAAATAGTCAAATGAACAAATAGACTGTTTTCTTTCAAGACAAGACGGGTACACATGCCATCTTCTCCAGAGGAATAGATCTCAGGTGAGAAGCCTAAAGGCTTCAGAGTCCACAGATCCATCACCCTCTCTACTCCTATACAAAGTATGCCTGGCTTATCAGTACCTGGCATGTGCTTAGAGAAGGAATGAAGCAAGGATTTAGAAGATACCATGAGTAAAACTTTAATCCAAACCACCTCAGATCTACCATACGAAAGCTCAGTTCTGTCACACAGCCAAAATTATTCCTGCTTCTGTGCTTATAAGCAAGTCAAGGGAAGATGATACCAGAGAAGATTGTTGCCAACAATTGTGTAGGGCTAAGGAGCATCACAGTCAAAAACTTCTGATGAAAAACAAGGAGATTTTACATGAGAACTTCAGTGACTGCCAAAGTATTTACTGAGGAAGGTGGGGTCAGTGTATTAATTTTAAAACCAGAAACTTCATCAACAGGTTTTACAGAAACCAGCCTTTGATGACAAACCAGGTTTATGATTTATTGCCTGAAGGCAGGAAAAAAAAAATGCTGGTTTTCTTCCAGATGTCCATTTTGTTTTTAACACTACCTATCACTACTTCCAACCTATACAAACCTTGCTAAATCAGACAAACTAATCCAGAGAGGTGCAAAGAGAGAGAGAAAAAAAAAACCTGACCCAACCCCGCCCCCGGCCAAACAAAAAGCAGAGGGTGGACTTTTGTACATGGTACCTAAACTAAGCAGTCTAATACGAAGGCTGAAAATTGGTTCAGAGCTCACATACAAAGTCCTTCTACCTACTTCAGCTCTTATTCACACACAGCTGTCAGTCATTCTTATACAGAAGCTTTCATGATGCACACACAAAAAGTTAAGATTTACTCTCTAGAGCACAAGTCTCAGAAAATACACATTTCTCACATGCAAGGTAAGTAAGTATTTATTACTGCTGGTGGAGTCAAAATGAGTTGTATTTTCAGATCCCTGGGAGAAGACTTTATAGTACTGGCAGTCAGAAAGGTCATAGCTTGACTTTAACTGAAAACCTTCGAGCTGAAAGCCGCTAAGGAAAACTAAATATGGAATACCAGAATATGCACCCGCACTGTCACTTTTTTGCCTAATCACAATTTACACAGACCAAAGACCCAGAGCTTTGTAACTCCTCCCTACCCATCTCCAAGCTCTCTCCTCCCCCTATCCCTTTTGCAACCCTTCCTCCCTCCCTTGGGCTACTAGACTTTTGCTGTTGGCTCGGGAAGGCTTTCCCCAGCCTGCAGCAACTACCTTGTTGCAACAAAATGCCATGATATGGTCACTTGCTGGGGAACTCCCCAGCAAATTACCATATTTGGCATGTTATTGCAAATCACATTTTTCAGGAAAATCACTTAATTTCATGATTTTCACAAAAAATGCAAAATTGTGATTTAAACCAGGCCCTAACCATCAGATAGTACAACAGCACTGAAACCAGAGAAAATGTTGTTTATCCCGTACTCTTTCATTACAATAGGAGATAAAAAGGTTTCAAACAGAAGTGGAATGGTTAAACTGACTAAGGTCCTTTAAGTAGTTTGTGCTTCTAAAGCAGGCTGAATTTTTAGGATGACAGGTACTCTATTTGCATAGGGTTAACCTTTAATTATATTTCTCTGCGAGGAAGCCATTCTGCTTGGTGTACTCAAGACCTTAGAGCAGTGGGGGGCAACTTTTCTGGCAAGTGTGCCACAAATTAGCCCCACACCCTCACAAAGTTCAGCCTGCCCTTGCCCCACTTTTTGCCCCATGTTCCCTGCTCAGTCTGCTGCTTTGGTTTCTTCTTCTGCCACTGTGCTGCCTGCCCCCTCCCTAATCCACTGCATCCCACACTCACAGGATACTCATAACACTTCTGGCACATGTACCATAGGTTGTCCACCTCTGGCTTGGATGTGGTTAGTTCACTAATTTCAAAACAATAGACATTTAAATCTGGCTATCAGGGAAACAGAGATCCACCCTTGAATCTGAAGTTAGTTATTCAGCATCTCACATCTTTGTTTCTCTGACCTGAATATAAAGGGACCCATGTCTAACAAAAGGCCTTTCTTCCTGCAACTTTTGCTCTGGGGAAGTCTTTGTAGCCTGCTTGTTCACTTGGGTAATGCAAACTGTTTATATTATGTTTGGCATAGGCATAAGTGTGTGCCTGAGCAACCTGGGACATCACAAAGTGAAATACTGCATCCCAGAAGCCTTCACTGACAGAGCAGATCTTCTAATTAAACGTGGGCAGACAGATAAAGAGGCATTTCTCCTTAACCCTGATGTCTCCCAAACTGAAGGCAAAAGCAGCATGGGATTAAAGTTTAAAAAAAAAAGAGCCAGACATCAGCACTGCACTCCTTTCCTAGCATTTTTGGACAGATATTTGAACAACAGAAAGAATAAAGCATTCTGCATCTAGCTACAGTGTAGTCCACCTGTGACAAAAACAAAGCAACATTTCACATATGGTACACAAACCCCTGTCCTCCCAGTGACTTTCTCTGGCCCCACTACAAAGCAACAACCTTTGATCTGAGTCCTCAGTCTCACCTGAGCCATGCTTGTGCCACATATTTGAGATTGCTAGACATGAGGGACTGGTACACAGGACAATTTGCTGTCCTACCTCTACAGCTGATACTTGCCAACCCAAAGTGGAGTTACATGATCCAAAAAGTCAAACATGGTTTGACATGCCACTTGGCTGGTTAGTTGAGCATTATGTTGGATAGGGGCACTAGAAGTGAGAGAAGTTAATCCACATAAAACCCAGATAAATTTTAGTTTCCCTAGTTTAGCCAATTTAATTTTGGAAAATACTAGAGACATCCCATTCATCTCTTAAAGAAAGAGAGTTATCAGAGTACAGGATCTTAAACCAACAATTTCTGCTTCTTATAAACACGATAGGGAAATGAGGGGAGAAGGGAGGGAAAACTAAAGCAGTTTCTCTTCCAACCCTAGCAAAAACTAAACAGAGCTGACCCCATTTAGAATTCTGTATGCCAAGTTACAGCCCAGAGGTGAAATTTATGGTCATGTAATAACCCCAGTTACTCCAGTGTTTGCAATGGAAAGACGGACCTAGAAGCAGCATTTGAGAACATCATGTTCACGTGAATGGAAAATGTTTATCTACTGTAGGATATTTGAGTCCTGGAAGATTTGCTTTCATCTGTATGGCTGAAGGGAGCAATAGTCAGCTACAGAGAAGGGCAGAAACATCTTGAAAAGATCTCTAACTGACAAAATATTCAATTCCTACTATTAACCACATGCATTTTTCTTTTACCTCAAGGGGTGAGTCTGCCTCCTCCAGCTCCTACAGAAGGGACCTAGAATCAGATCTGAGCCATGAATACTTGTGAGGCTAGTATCTGTTGTGATGTGGATGCATTTGGATATCTTTAAAAAAAAGCCTCCGAAGATTTGAATCCAACACAGTAAAAGAAACAAGAGCATTGATTCTCTGAGCCTCCCACTGCCTTCCAACATAACTCAACATAAGTAAAACTAGTTTGCAAACTCAGTTCCCAACTGGCTGATCTGAATCCTTAAGGAGGCCTACATTTAAATCTACTCTAGATACCAACATGGATCATGGAGTAGATTCAGGCTGGACCTCAGGAAGCACTATTTCACAGCCAGGGCAGCTAGTATCTGGAACCAATTTCCAAGGGCAGTGGTACTTGCTCCTACCTTGGGGGTCTTCAAAAGGAAGCTAGATAATCACCTAGCTGGGATCATCTGACCCCAATACTCTTTCTTGCCCGTGGCAGGGGGTCGGACTTGATGACCTGCTCAGGTCCCTTCCGACCCTATCTACTATGAATCTATAGGAATTCTGCAAGACTTTGACTGCTCTTTCGCACCCAGGTGAATCTTGCTAAAATACCTGCTTAAACTGTGACTGAATTTCACAACTAAATGCCACTTCTTTTCATAAACTGGTTGATTTTTGGTTTCTTGGTGCTGTTTACCTCAATACTCCAGGAACAAACAGACCTAGCAGAAATGCATGGTCTCAATTTCTAACAAATATAAACATTAACAACCTTACTACCCATCAGGCTGTCAACCTGACAATAAGCAATACTGTAACAATCAACAGCAGAATACCACAGAAACAGAACTACCTTTTGAGCATGTACAGTTATGTGCTCAAAACACAGGAATTACAGCATCTGATCACGCCAAAGATCTATCTAGTCCAGTGTCTCTCATCTCTTCAATAAGACAGTGGGTGCTTCAAGAAAGTGCAAGAAACGCTGCATAAAGCAGTTATTTAAAACATATTAGCTGGAGAGAGTCCAGGGAGGGCAACAAAAATGGTGAGGGAGCTGGGGCAAATGACTGATGAGGAAAGGCTGAGGGAACTGGGCTTATTTAGTCTACAGAAGAGAAGACTGATGGGGGATTTAATAGCAGCCTTCCACTACTTGAAGGGGGGTTCAAAAGAGGATGGAGCTAGACTGTTCTCAAGTGGTGGCAGATGACAGAACAGGGAGCAACAGTTTCCAGTTGCAGTGAGGGAAGTTTAGGTTAGGTATTAGGAAAACCTTTCCTCACTGCGGAGAGCAGTAAAACACTGGAACAGGTTACCCAGAGAGGTGGTGGAATCTCCATCCTTGGAGGTTTTTAAAACCCAGCTAGAAAAAGTTTTGGCTGGGATGATCTAGCTGGGGATGGTCCTGCTTTGAGCAAAGGGTTAGACTGGATAACCTCCTGAGGTCCCCTCCTACCATAATTTTCTATGACTATGATATTTATTCCTGAATCAAGCTCCTATTTGTGCAAAACTCACTTGTATGGCAACATCTTAAGCACTAAAATTCACAATCGAAAATGCCTTCATCGGTAAGAGATTCTCGTGGGAGCAGGACTCGGTCACGGCTGCCCTGTTCTAAGCTACTCCACAGGACATTCTTCTCCCTTCTAAAGGCAGTACAGCACCAATTCTCCACAGGCTAGACACAGGGCTAAATTTAGGTTAGTTTCACATGCAAATGTGGACTCCACTGAAGTCAGTAAGCTCCCACCACTACAATTTAGAAGTTGATCTAGGAACCTGGGCCTGTTTAAAATTTTAATGTTAACCTCTCATCACCATAAAAAAGCCACTTCATTTTGGAAATGCACCTGCCTTGCCACAGTTTTAATTAATTCATGATCATTCAGTGCAACACCTTTGGCTCACTGCTTAAAGAGACTAGGAAAAACAGAGCCAGGAACTCACTCAAAAGTATAAGAGTCACTGGATGAAGGAGCAGGGAGCTTAGGGCTAAAGCAGCATATTGATGTCATGAGCTTAAGAGAATAGATGCACAGAACTTCAGTGGTTACTAACTTTAAGCTTCACGTCTGCGGGGAAAACATTCTTATTTCCTTACAATCTCCATGCTGACAGCTTCAACCCTCCCCCCCTAGGCTTCTGAAAAAAAGAACACACAAGAACTGAGTTCCCAATAATAAATGAAAAAAATCAAGTGTTGGTGCTTCAAGCACACAGTTGCTTTGGATATCTAGACAAGTGGCCAGCAATGCTGTCCAAAATTCAGTATTGCAACATGAGTAAGCATGCAGGTGATCTTGCTACTATACAAGCTGAACATCTAAGTCTCACATCCAACCTCTGAAACCATGTAGATTTCCACTTCAACCAGATGGACTGCTAGGAAGTCCATTGGGTGGTCCTTGTTAACGAGACACTGACAGTTAACAAGAATGCTTTAGACTGCTTATATCTACCTTGTCTATTTGGTTACAGGAATACATGAGGATCATAAAACATCAGCTTGCTTTAACATTGGTTAAGGGATGCTATATTCTCATGTACTTGGAAAACCATGTAGTGAAGACTAGGCCTATGACAATCACAAATCTCAAGATAAAAAAAAAAAATGCTGAGCTAGGCTGCTGCTGTGGATGGAAATTTTACCTCATGGACACATGCACTGTAGCAAGCTTATGATTCAAGATGAGGATACACATTCTTCAGATAACCAGTGCCATGACACAATACTTGGAGGTGCTGACCTTGTTGGTAATGCCTTTGCAAAACAATATGAAAAACACCAGAAGTAACTGCACCCGCTCTCAGTTCATGCTCCAGTTCCTACTAGGCACTGGAGCCTTTGGTTTTACTCAGAAGTGTTGGTAATACAATGTATGCTGCATCCCCTCACTACGCAGCACAAGTAAGGCAGTCCGTTTTCAAGAAACAAGCTCTCTTGTTTTGGGGAGTCAGGAGTATCCTCTCATATTCCTCAGCAACAATACACAAGCATCTTAAGTTTACCTCTATAGCACATTCTAGCAAACTTGGCAATTGCTGAGGTAGATTTGAAGGCTCAATTTAAAAGAAAACATTGCTAATGGTACTGTTAAATATTTATACTGTTATCATAGCCCCATTCTACCAACACACAAGAAACAGCTTCTGCCCCAAAGAATTTACCATTTTTATATAGTTACAGCAAGTAGCAGCAGCCATCGACAGCGCTGTCCTAGGGGTGTCCAGGGCTAGGGGCATATCAGCCCGTGTACGACTGGGGGCTGGTGGCGAGCGAACAGAGCACAGCCGGCAGCCGTGGTGCAGCCTGTATGGCACTGTCCACAGGGCCCCAGGCGATCGCCCCAATTTGCTCCCCTTCCCCAGGGGTGGCCCTGGCCATATGGCATTTATACACATACATTTGTCTGCTCAGATGCACCAGAAATCCAGCGCGTCACAGCAGACTCAATTAATCGAGTCTGCTCTGCATGCAAGCTGATGCACCCAGCGCTGTGCAGCAAGCATTTGTATAAACAACGAAATGCACATCAACACTGAGAAAATGGCAGCAGTGAGCTTTTGAACTAAAACACCTTTGATGCAGTGCAAACGTGTACAAATGCCCATAATGCCCCTGGATTAATGTAAACAGTTTTAGTTTTTGGAGTTGCTAAAAGCTAACATTGGAGGTTGGGCTGGACTAACCGCCTTGTTGTGTATAAATTCTGTAAATATGTTGAGATGTGTTTAAAAAAAAAAAGTTGAGAGTTTTTTGTTTACAGATCCGGAATTCAAAGCGTGTGGCGGAAAAAAGCCTCAAGAAGGACGACATCACCGAAGGAAGTAAGGGCTTAATACGCAACTCCGCCATGACGCCCACTGAAGCCCTGATCGTTCAGTTTTTGTCATGAACGTAATTATGTATGTGTGTGTGTGCCGGCTATTGTTTAATTTAATTTAACCCCTGGGAACGAACTTCTCATGTTGATAAATTTTGTGTTTGTTTGTTTGTTTAACGACTCGTGACAGAGCTCTGAATCACTCGAATAATGAAAGTACAGCATAATTCAGCTGTGCCTTCAGCAAGGGGGGGATGTCACAATCCAAGGGTGTGATTTTTGTTGTGAGTGCTTCGGCACTGCTAAATTGTTCCTGCTAAATTGCACGGTGGAGTTTTCTGCTGCAGAGGAGAACCCCGGTGCAAAAGAATTCCCGCCACCAGTAGCTTTCTTTGCAGGGTGCATTTCTTTGTTGCAGCACAGAAATGCACATTGCAAGGAGTTCCCGCCATTCATATTCAAATTTGTGCCCCACCATTGGCTAGTTCTAAATTATTCCTACGTGGCGACTAATGATTGGCTTGCTAGCCGTATAAAAAGCTTGAGTGGTTTCCGCCCAAGTGGGAGGACTCCACGAACACCAGGAGGAGAAGACTTCACGCTGTGTAAAGACCTCTAAGCACTGCGGAGCCTATTGGACCCAGCGCATTTCAAGCAGGCAACAGGGGTCTGATCAGCCTCTAGCCTCTCCCCGTCGACGTTTCCAA